GTTTTGAAACCGAGTCAGCTAATGAATCGTTTTCAAACCGAGTCATCTAATGAATCGTTTTGAAACCGAGTCAGCTAATGAATCGGTTTGAAACCGAGTCAGCTAATGACTCGTTTGGAATGGAGTTAGTTCACTCGGTTCTCTAGGGGGATGACCTATCAAGACTGCCCTTTGACAGTCCGCTACTACACGATACACGACGAACAGCAGTGCCAACTTCAGTTTCGTGCTCAAAAGAATATTTTCCAGAAATGATTTTTTCCCCTCTTCATCTTCATAGATCACGTTTGCCACTTCAGACTATAAATAAAATGACTACTAGATTCCATTTCCTGCAATCAGATTTTATTATAAATAGCTTTGATAGTAGATCTAGTTTTGTTGGAAAGGAGTTTATCAGTTGGTTGGAGCATAAACACGACACCGCATATTATCAAAACAAAGAAAAAGTCTGTTTTAAAAGGGAGGTTGCTAAAGTGATTGCTGGGAAATATAGCAAGGGCAGAGGAAGATCCCGTGGGGGAAATCCAACAACAAGCACCCCCTCAATCGGACCTCCTTAACTATGTGTAAAAAAATTGCTTTATAAAAGGTACATTTCACAGTCATTTTCCTTATTTTTTTTAATGGGGTACATTTGCATTTTTTTTCAAAGCATATCATCATATGACCTTAGACTTTTTATCCTAATGTGGCTTACTTTAGTAAAATCTGATATTTTTCTTACAGTGTGATATTTTCAAAAGCCAAGCATTATCACATTTTGATATTCAAAGCATTGTTTAAAACAATTAGAATATCTAGCAATTGCCTCCCTTACACCCAAGAGCAAATTATTATTGGAGTGAATTCCCTCTAGTATTCTTTGTAATCTTACTTTATTTTTCAGCAATCAGAAGGTATTCACAATTGTCTCCCTTGCACCTAAATAGATTATGAATTGCATGATCACGAAAATGATCTACTCATCTGGACTGGGGCACCTGTAAAAGACAGGAGTAAAACAGGAGCGGGTTTTATAATGAAACTAGAAAAGCAAAATGCATTATAGATATCGTTATCATATTGTGCATCAGGCTACTATATTATATTATTACTTTACTTTTCCGATCCAGCGGCCATTTGGGTTCTAGCCCTTCGGTCTGATATTATATTATAGAAGAAAACCAACAGCCTAATTAATATCCAGGTTAACGTCCATGCTGTGTCAGGTACTCTGAAGAGGAATAGAGGAAAGACAAGAATTCTTTGAACATCTCTGTGAACACAATCAATAAATAAAACACAATGAGGAAGTAGGAAGTTAATAGTCGAGGTCTGTAGGCCCTTGTTCGAGTTATTTAGAGGCCTACCATGCAGGTACATGTATTTATCTCTCTCTATACAAGGAAAGAGAAAGAGAGGAAGGCAGAGAAGGAGATGGGAGGATAACATTACAGAGTGGACAGGAAAGACGATGGGTGACAATCTGAGGAAAGCAGAGGACAAAAATAGATGGCGAGAACTGGTTTTCTGCAGATGCAGTGGTGCCCCCACGGTTGCCCCAACCACGGGATAGAAGAAGAAGAAGAAGATATTGTGGGAGATGGAACAGCGTTGGATTTAACCTCGTTACCATTTTGAAAGAAAAAGAACCCAACCAAACAAACAAACAAACAAACAAACAAACAAACACGAGCAACGCCGGTCTTTTATGACACAATCGTGTTGAAAAGCAAGAAAAAGTCAGGTGTACCATAGCAAGGAAAACGAATCATTTAAAAAGGGAAAAAGAAAACCTGACTCAATTGCTAACTGTGTATTCATTCATTTCTAACTGTAG